GCTCCACTACCTTTTGGAAATTGTAGAATTCTGAGATCTTGATGCTCCAGTTTGCCAAACTAGCTTTTATCGTACAAAAAAACAAACAATTAGTGAAAAGACAATTAGTGAAAAGACGGTCTCAGTTTTTTGGTCCAACGCATCTCCACGGGCAATCCAAAATATCCAAAGGCCACCTTCTCTTAAGCTAGTTGTGAGTTGGTATATAACGTTCGAGACTCACCACAAGAAGAATCACTCTCAAGGATGTAGATGTAGCCTTCTCATCCAATTTTTATTGGTGTCGCAAACAGAGAATTTAGCTTCGTACATGAGTACCATAATTGCTTTGTCGATATGCAGATGCTTAAACTCCATACAATCCTCAGTAAGCTCATCGTAGATAGGAACCTGCAAAATTCTGCACGTGAGTGCCTCCCCTAACGAACTTCCGAGAGCATTAGCATTCCAGGACCCATTTTCAATAAAGATAAAAACTTTAAGACCCACTACTTGCGTAACATCCACGGGGTATGGTCAATCCGCAAGAGGATTATTATAGATCCACGCAACTTGAGAGTTGTTGTACCATCGCATAAGATCCTCCAAGTGATGGAGAACGTGCATTTCTGCTAAGGAAGACACGAATTTGTGCCATATTTATCTACAAGAAGCTTGTGAAGAAGTGAATTCCTATCATGGAGATAGTTCCAAGCTAACCAAGCCCTTAAAGTGCCTTTCCAAAGTCTGGAAGCATGACAATCAAGCCCCCCATGTTAGGTTAGTTGGCAAATAAAATCCCATGCCACATAGTGTAGAGACGGTTGGTTGTTACCTTTCTGCCAAAGAAATTACCTACATTTCCTCTAAATATCCTCTAAAATGCTGACTGAAACCTCGGTATGGGTAATAAGATAAGTCGGCATCGCAGGGAGAGATGATTTGATAAGAGTGACACGTCCCGCTAGAGAAAGGCGATTCATCTCCCAAGCATTAATTCTCGCAGTAGTCTTATGGATTATAACATCGAAATTAGATTTCTTTAACCTCTGTAAAACCAACTTGAGCCAAAGATATTCCAATTCATTCACTTAAGAGAATTTAAGGAATCTTGAAATGCTCCTTTTAAGCCAATTGTGCGTGGCTTTACTAAAAAAGAACAACAAATTTAGAAGTATTGATACGTTGCCTCGTCCACTGACAAATAATCATTCAAAATATCAATACGAAGCTTTGTCGTGCGCATGTTAGCCTCGGCAAAAAGAATGATATCATTTGCATAAAGCAAATGTGACGGAAGAGTCGCTCCGAAAGCAAGTCTAATGACAATATGGCTAGCCCAACGATGAAAAGCCATATAATGGAGTTCCGAGAAAATAAAAAAAGATAAGGGGATAATGGACATCCTTGTCGAAGTCCACAATTTGCCTCGATCCAAGGATGTTAATGGTCATTAATCATAAGAGTGAACCAGGGATTTGTAACACAAGACATAATCCAATTCCCAAAGCTTTCAGGGCAACCCTAAGCTTCAAGCACCAAATGGAGAGTTGTCCAATTCGTCTTACATAGGCCTACTCCATATCTATCTTAATATCCATAAGCCCATATTTGGTTGTAGAGTGATTAAATTTATTAATGATCACCTAGGCAATAATACAATGATTAGAGTTGGAGTGATTCACGGTGAAAGTATCTTGTTCCGCAGAAATGAAAGAAGGCAATGCCTCTTTAAGCCCGTTGACGAGAATAATGACAACTACTTTATAAATAGTTGTACAAAGACCGATGGGTCTAAGAAAATTTAGCAATTCAGCTTGCTCCGTCTTCGGGAGGAGGATAATAATAGATTCCTTACGATGGGCGGGAATATTAGAAGTTAAGAAGAAGTTGTGGATGGCATCAAGGACCTCTTTATTGAAAATAAGCCACAAAAACTTATAGATATAAGTGGTAATCCCATCATGACTCGGTGCCTGATTAGGTCCCATACTTCTAATGGCACTCCAAATTTCCTCATTGGTGACCCCCTCCGTCAACCGCGTCGAGAAATTGGAAATATAGCTGGAAGAATTGGAAAATTCAGGCCATCCCTCGGTGCAAATATCGGTTTTTTGTCATTTGGATTTAAAAAATTCAAAATAAAGAATTTAGAATTTGATCTTGCTCCTCGATAAAGATTCCATCCTCCAGCTTGATAAGGTTAATGCGATTATTCTTGTACCTAGAATTCATTTTCTTTCCTCAAAATATATTTCATTAATTGTATTTTACTATTTCCATCATTAGATATTTCTTTTTTTTTTGCTTTTTCTTATTTTGTTTCATTTCACTGTTATATATGTGGCAAAATGTAATATATAGATTAGAAGAAAAACTAAAATTTGTTTGGATTTTAACATTACTCATACGTCAACCTTCTCAGACATGTTCTTTCACGATATTACCAAAAGAAGGAAACTCTAGAACTCTATTAGCTCTCAGAATTTTGAATGTGTTTCCTGATGTTACAAATGGGATGAATCTCCCCTTCTTATAAGCTCAAAGGCATTTCCCTCTAACTACAAGAATGCTCTACATAACTTTAGAAATTTCTAAACTTGGCGCTTTTTTGCAATACTCTAGAAACTCGATACACATGAGAGCTATATGCACAATCCTAAAATACTCTACACAATTCTAAAGTTCACCATGACCTTCAAAAACAATGTCATGTTTTGGAGACTATTTAACCACATGGTAGCTAGAGAAATCGTACAACATAGCCATGATTTTGTTGTCTATGACATTTGCCTCACCTTTTAATGTCTTAAAGCAAGGTGGTCCCCTAAAGTGTTAGCAATGGTGCTTATTTTATTTTTGAGTGATACGTGAAGCCGTGAGAAATTGCCTTGCCTCACCTAGCCCACTCCAATCACCTATTAAAAAACCCAACAAATCTTTCGCAATATTGTTCAGAAACAAAGAAGTCAAAATGCTAGCAAAAGTTGAGCATGAAAAAAAAAGATGCTAAGTTAAATGTGTGGCAAAACTATGAAGCATAATTTGAGAAATAAATATATTAAAGAAATGATAAATTCCATTTATTGAAAATAAAATAATAAAAATAGACTTAAATGGTTTGGTTAGATACAACAAAGGATACAAGTTGCATCAATATGGCAAATAGATTAAAAAAAAATTGAAAGGATTAAGATTAGGAAAAAAAAATGAGTGCAATGTAAATAACATGGATAGAAAGTGTAAAAAAAAAAACTGAACAGTAAATAACATGGATAGAAAGTGTAAAAAAAAAAACTGAACAAAATTAGTGAAAAAATAGACTTCAATGGTTGAGCATGTTCAATAGATTGTAGAAGTTGCATTAATATGACATACTTAATGTCAATGGATTAAAAAGAAAATTGGATAAAATAAAAAATAACATGGATATACGAATGCAACAAAGATTTCAACAACTTAACACCTAATGTGGCACACAATATGCATGAATGGATCTGTACAATACACAAACGTTGACTCAAATAATTAGAACAAGGCTAATAATAGTGATTATACAAAGGACAAATGTGAATATGCTTATAATAGATTGAAATTTATATAAATTGTTTAAAGAGATCAGCACAAGGCAAACGGGCTAAGTTCAAGCCAGATCAAATTGAGTTAGCGTTTAGAGTTTTTCCGGAGAACAACTTGTGTTGTAATAAAGAAGAGGATTCAGATTTGAGCAAAGGCTTTATTTAAGTAGAATCAAGTCAACCTGATAAAATAATAGATGGCATTTTACAATGTGTTGAGTCCATTGAATATAATTTGACCCAAACTCGACATAAAATGATGTATGATCAAGTCTAATAACTTACAGACTTAGGCCATAAAAATTACTCACATTCATTACCTCATCAGACAAGTCATGTCAGGTTAAGTGAGTTGGCCAACCTGTGCATAGGACTGGCATCTCCATCACATGTTCACACCAGGTATAGTGTCTAAGAAGTCTTAAAACTGTTCTACAGAAGTTTAAAAATGAGGAACTCCAAGTAGAATACATTGCCTTAGAGTGCCGTATCCTTAATATATCTAACACAAAGCCATAATGCTCTGTAAGTATTAGCGTAGCATAAGTACAGATGGTTTTCAATATCCCTGATAAGATAAGGAGCTTCTATTTCGTAAGGTGTTAGGGATTACAGGGCATTGGCCTGGCACGATGAAATTTTTCATGCCATGAAAATAAATAAATTCTTAAAAATATATATATAATGATTCACTTAATCATAACAAAAAGTACAAAAACACAAACCATAGGCTTCCCCCACAGGGGGCCTTTCAACTACATAAGCTTCACATTTTAGGATACAGATATGAAGTTCATGAAAATAAAACAAAATCTATTACAAAAAAAAAAAAAAAAAAAAAAAACCAAATTCCGCAAAAAGAGTTCAAA